CTCCAGTTCTCACTTCTTCTATGCGTATTTTGGGATGTGGATTTCTCTACTTTCACTTGTCATTCATTATAATCACACCAGTATTCACATTCCAACTGGAAAATCTATACCTCTACCACTTTTTACAGCACTTTTAGAGATTTATTTCCTTTTATTATTTTTTTACACTAAAATTTCAATAGGATCTTAGGGGTTGGGGGTATAAATGTGGGTGTTCACTCCATCTTCTTAAACTGGAAGTTCTCTATTTAAATCTTAAATAAACAGAGTTTATACATTTTCTTAGAACCTGCGCTCTTTGAAACACCAAGAACCTCTTTCCAAATAACACCAAAATTTGGCTATAGAATGTAAACACTATGATCTCTATTAGTCCATAAGTCAAATAAAGGAACCAGTAGGAACCATTCTTTACCAAATAAAATCAAACTGAGAAGTTAAAAATTAATTAAGAAAATAAAACCACTAATATACTATAGTTTGAAAAGTATGTTACATTTTATTAATAATTTCATTTGAAGTACTCAAAAAATTGTACCCAAAGTCTAAAAGAAAGAGAATTTATTTTTCCAGTTATTTAACTAGAATCCACAACCACTGTCTTTTTATGTCTTCCCAATAATAATTTATTGTTATTTACAAAACTAATATAAAACTAAAATTTGTAGTATAAAACAGTATATCCCAGGTATAAGCTCTAATAAATGATTTTATTTAAATAAGGAATCATATATAATATATAATAAAAACTTCATTTCTCATTAAAATGAGTCAACCAGAATATTTAAATCAGCAAAATAATTTAGTAATTTAGTAAAATAATTTAGGAAAAAACCCCTCACTTTCCTGCAAGTATGTATCCATTGTGTGTGTGTATGTTGGGGGGCGGTTTGAAATGAGAAATAAATGTTTATTCTTCATGGATCTTCACTCTCTCTCTCCTTGGGTCATGTCCTTCAGGCCTGTGACCACTTACACACTGACGACACTACATACATACAAATGATATCATCACTCGGATAACAAACTCCTCGAACTTCACATGTCCAAAATAAAACTCAACTCCTCTCCAAACCTACTCTTAACTATAGTAAATGTAAATGGCATTAATATTCACCGGGCTGTTCATGCAAAAAAACAAGAGCCATCTTTTATTTCCCCTTTTCCTTCACCCAATTTATCAACAAATCCTGTTGATTCCACCTCCAAATTTATCCATTTTTTTCCCAACTCCACTGCCAAGCCACTGCCCCCTGCAATAGCCATCTAACTGACTTCTCTGCTTCTGTTCTTGTCTCCTTCGAATCTATCTTCCCCTCAGCAGCCAGTATAGATTAGTTCTTGTCATTTCCCTGCTTAAAACTCTCTTTAGAATAAAAACCATCTTCTCTACCATGACCTACAAGGTCTTTCATGATTTGACCCCTGCCTACCTCTCCATCCTCATCTCTTATCACTCTTTGCCTTTCTCACTATCTCCAGGCCACTGTGCTTCCCCAAATGCACCAACCTGGTTCCTCTTTTAGGAGCTTTGCGTTTGCCATTCCCTCTGCCTAGGATCCCCGGCTCCCTCACTTAACCTGGGCTATTTACAAGCGTGACTTCTTTGTATTCAAATGTCACCTCCTTAGAGACGCCTTCTCTAAGGCAGCCACCATCCTTCCAATACTTTACAAATCACTCTCCTTAGTTTTTTTGCCCACCACCTATCACAATCTAAAATTACCTTATTTATTTATCCCCCCCCCCAAATATAAGCTCTTTAAAGGCAGAGATTTATCTATGTCATTTATTATTCTCTCCAATGCCTAGAACATACCAACATTTAGCAGGTATTCAAAATATTTGTTGAATGAATGAACAACTTCATAAACATCATTGTAGCAGTACAGATATTAACTATACTGATTTTGATTATTACTATTAGTTTATTATAGTTTAAATTATATTAGTTTATTATAAATTATTGGTTCATTATAAATAGAACTGTATTTAACTGTATTTCAACAGAAAAAAAGATATTAAGATTATGTGACTCCAAAGGAAGAATGAAACACAACTGTGCTAAATCTTATCCATTCAGGACAGGATTAAAGAAAAACACACGTAGGCTGCAGCCACTGCCCGTGGTGCACCCAGGACCTTCCCCCAACAGAGGCCCCAAAGCGAAAGGCAGACCTATCTGGAAGAGATGCATTTAGAAGACACCACTAGATTCTGTCCAAAGGAAGAAAGAGAAAGTGAACAAACATCTTTCAGGACCAAAAGCCCAGGCAAGACCAGAGAGGGGGCTTTGGCAGCTCGTTCCATAAGCTCTTTGAAAAGAAGTCCAGTGGATCAGAATCAGGGAAAATCTGAGAATCCCTCAATGGATCCTTCACCCACCAAACAAGATTTCTTCAGAAACTGATTTGCTCTTGCAAATGGCTATGACCAGGAAACAGCTGTGTAAAACATACTTAAAAAGTGGTACGATGAGGATAAAAAGCTTGTATGTATCTGTGTAGGAACATATATATACATCCCTGAAGAAAACTAATATAAATTCATATGATACTAAATCAACACACAAGACGCTGAAGACATGAAGTAATCTTAACATTAATCTACAGTTGAGAGCTGGCGTTGTGAACCTTAACACCTGGGAAAAGGGAAACAAAGACTTTTCACAGCATTACAGAAAAACAGTAAATTTGGAGGAAAATACACATTTGTAAGAACGTACACAAAAAAAGAAAACCACACGTAGTAATCTTTGAGGTTTAACTGGGGGGGTGGGTGGGATTCATTACAGAAAAGTTTTATTAAAAAATAAAAAGAGGGCTGGCCCATGGCTTAGCAGTTAAGTGCGCACGCTCCGCTACTGGCGGCCCGGGTGCACACTGACGCACCGCTTCTCCAGCCATGCTGAGGCCACGTCCCACATACAGCAACTAGAAGGATGTGCAACTATGACATACAACTATCTACCGGGGCTTTGGGGTAGAAAAAAAGGAGGAGGGTTGGCAATAGATGTCAGAGCCGGTCTTCCTCAGCAAAAAGAGGAGGATTAGCACAGATGTTAGCTCAGGGCTGATCTCCCTCACCAAAAAAATAAATAAATAAATAAAAAGAGAGGGGCCCGCCCAGTGGTATAGCATTTAAGTTCGCGCATTCCGCCTTGGCAGCCTGGGGTTTGCAGGTTTGGATCCTGGGCGCAGACCTATACACTGCTCATCAAGCCATGCTGAGGCGGTATCCCACACAGAAGAACTAGAAGGACCTACAATTAGGATAATACAACTATGTACTGGGGCTTTGGGGAGAATAAAGAAAAAAAAAAGAGGAAGACTGGCAACAGATTAGCTCAGGGACAATCTTCCTCAAAAGAAAAAAAATGCATTAAAAAAAAACAAAGAGAATAATAAAAAGCACTAGGAAAAAAACCCACTGAACCAAATGCAGAAAGGGAAAGTTGAATCAAAGGCTATACCAACAAATTTAATCTAGCACTTTTATATGTGATCTTTAGAGTTCTCCCTCTTACGAAGGAGAGTAAAAGGATCTTGTTTCGGGGCCAGCCTAGAGGAGCGGTGGTTAAGTCTGTGCGCTCTGCTTCGGCATCACAGGGTTTGCGGGTTCCTATCCCGGGCGCGGATCTACATTGCTAGTCAGCCATGCTGTGGCAGCATCCCACATACAAAATAGAGGAAGACTATCACAGATGTTAGCTCAGGGCCAATCTTCCTCACCAAAATAAATAAATAAATAATAATTTAAAAAGAAAGATCTTATTTTTTATACTGTTTGTAATACGTAGGTGCCACCAATCATAACCATTTTAAGGCCTTAAACATTGCTAATACATCTATAAGAACTTGTACTGCTGCTGCTTCCAAGGATAAACACTAGGAAAGGCCAGTATGAGTTAGAAAGAGGAATTTCCATTAGAAAGAAAAGAACATTTCGCCATATATTTCTATATACTACAGTAGTTCCTCAGACATGATTTTATCTGTTCAAAACAGTTAAGAACCAAGAAACAAGCAACCAAGGCCACCAGGGAACTAAAGCAGAGCCAATGTCAACGCAAGAAAAGATGCATTCTGTATATATAACCCCAAGCTCCTCACTCAGAGCCTATTCACTTTTACTACAGACTGAATTCTTACACATTTAGCCATCTAGTTTCTCAGCGCACAGCAAATCAGAGACAGCAAACTAGAGAATGGAGAAGACAGAAAACTATTACATGGAGGGCAGGTGACCTAAGAGGAGAAAGAAGACTAAACCTCCATTGAAAAAAGGAATTACAAAATCTCAGAATCAAAAATAAAATGTAAAAAGCATAGCTGGCAAGGTTTTATTTAAAATACTAACACTCTTACAGAATTCAATTGCCCCTGAGACTGTGTGTCTTATTTTAATGTAGTGTAACATTAGCATGGTACCTAGTAGAGTGGCTTGCATGGAATAATGAACTTAAGTTCAAACGATGACCCTAAAGGGATAGTTTTTAATCCTGGAGTTTCTCACTTGGTAGGCATTTATATTTTAGTCAAAAGACCACAGGTAATTCTGATGCACACTGAGAATTGAGAACCACTGTCCTAATGGTCTAAGGAAAGGTTATATAATACTTGATATATTATTTAAGAAAGAAATGAGAATTTACTATGATCTTTAAATGTGTTCAATAAAACTTGTTTTTAAAAAGTTTGGGCATGTTGGGGTAATGCGGAGAACACTTCATCTCCCAAAGGAGGGAGATGGCTAAATGACACACTACCAATAGCCAATCTACTCATGGGACAATTATTTTGAAACCCCACACATATAATAAATTTATGTAATAATGAGTGAAGTAGAATACTCAGTGTGGAATGAAATAATGGTAGAAACTCAATGAAGGTAAAGTTATGTGAAGAAAAACATCTCATTACTTCAACTAGAGAAGAGTCTGGGCACCAAATCCCTCTCTACATGGTAATATCTCCCAAACAAAATACACTCATACTCACCTTTCTGAAAAATCAGAGTCTATAAATTCTCTAGCCCGTTTCCTATCACTAAAAAGAAAAAAAGATAGCATAAAAAGAACACATATATAAACACAACTTTATTTCATGAATAATTTATTGTAATGTCTAATTCCACACTGAATATATCCAACCACAAATACTAAGAAATGTAAAAGATATGTACATAAAATGAAATCTTAAATTTTCTCATAGGACCAAGAAATCACAACATAACAGTCATAGTTTGAAATGAGCTCACTGAATCTTGAGGGAGGAAAATATTATAGATTTACAAAGGAGAAAGCACAGAAAAGTTTTATTCACTATGAAATGACTGACTACCAAACACTAGACAATCATACCACCTCCAATATAAAGCACAGCTGGGGCTGAAAATATCCAAACCCTGGTCACTTCCACAGTGGGCAAAGGCCTAGCCGGCAGAGGTTTGGTTTCCATGTTATAATCTCTCATGGCTATGTAGAAGGCCAAGGTAACTTTTAGATCTACATGAGAATGTTCATAAGGACTAAATAAAGGCCATGGGATTACAGGTGATTCTGTAATCTCATCTCATTAGATAATGGAAAGGTATGTATACATATGAAACTCTTCTGTCTCTCATGTGTGTGTATACATATGTGCATGTGTATGTATGTATGTGAACATGTATTTGGCTCAAAGCACTTTGCTAGGATTATTTCATTAATTCACTTAATATCCTTGAAGCAAGCAGATTATTACTCAACCAAGATTTACTGTCTGCTTGCTAGAACTCACAATTCTAAGTCAACCACAGAACGACCAGCGCAGTATGCCACCATGGAAATAACTTCTAAAGTGACAAAATGAAGTTTTGAGTTATTTCTCTTACTATTTCTTTTTCTTTTATGGAAGGAAGAGATGCTAAAATGATAATGGGTGGAGAAAGGTTGGGTAAGCGTATTTTAAAGGCATGGAAGAAACACGTAAAGATTTGATACTAAAAGTGGCAAATGAGTAACATAAAAGGGATACTGATTTAATTGCCCAGTGTTTAAAAAGAATCAAGGGAGGGCTGGCCTGGTGGCATAGTGGTTAAGTTCGGCGTGCTCTGCTTTGGCGGCCCAGGTTCATGGGTTCGGATCCCAGGCATGGACCTACACCACTCATCAAGCCATGCTGTGGCAATGACCCACATATAAAATAGAGGAAGATGGGCATAGACCTTAGCTCAGGGCCACTCTTCCTCACCAAGAAAAAAAAACAATCAAGGGAAAACGTAATGAAAATTTTAACATATTTGGTCTTTTTTTCCTAGTTCCTTTTCTGGTTTTTAAGGAAATAAGAATGCACAGGAAGGGGCCGGTCCCATGGCTTAGCAGTTAAGTGCACGCACTCCGCTACTGGCAGCCCGGGTTCGGATCCTGGGCGCGCACCGACGCACTGCTTCTCCGGCCATGCTGAGGCAGCGTCCCACATACAGCACCTAGAAGGATGTGCAACTATGACATACAACTATCTACTGGGGCTTTGGGGGAAAAAAGGAGGATTGGCAATAGATGTTAGCTCAGAGCCAGTCCTCCTCAGCAAAAAAAGGAGGATTAGCATGGATGTTAGCTCAGGGCTGATCTTCCTCACAAAAAATAAATTAATTAATTAATTAATTAAAAAAAAAAAATGCATGGGGAAATTCTGAGAATAGCCAACATTTAATATATAACTCCTTTCTTATGTTTGTTAAAACAATATAAAATATAATTTTTACATCTCCAAAGCAGCTAAATGTCATAATCAAAAAAGTAGTCCTCTTTCAGAGCTGAAAAAAGTCAGAAGACTCAATTACAAGTTATTGTATTGTTTTTCTGTTTAAAAATGGCTGTTCCACAGAGGATGTATATCTAAGACATAAAGTGAAATAAAATAGGTGATTTAAACGTATTAGTTTTTAAGAACTAGACTAACAAAACAAGAAGTTAAGATAGTGAGAAAAAAAGGTCAGAACTTAAAAAAAAAAAAAGGTTTTTATAAATGATAATGTGCAACAACACTCTTACCCTGGGACCCAACCAGTAGCTTCTGCTATGTGTGTCTGAGTAACCATTGCTGGTGCAGGGGTATATGGACTCCCAATCAGAACACTTCCTGAACTGGTTAGTCTCTGTGGTGTGCTTATAATCTGTAAAGTTATTAGGACAAAGAAAATAATATTAGTTATTAAGAAAAGCATACAGGCAGAAAATACTGTTGACTGCTAACCTACATACAAGGAGGAAACGTTATTGCATAAAATGCACTTAATACCAATCATCTAAAATATGAGCAATACCTTTGATTCACTTACATCCTAGGACCTTAAAGCACAAGTATCCTGAATGCTGACATGAGGTCACAATGCAGGTTTCAGCAAGTGAACAGCAATTTGGAAGGATTAAGCTGGCAACTGACAATGTTTTAAAAATCAGAAAAATGAAAAGCTATCTTTGAAATTATGGAACCTAACTACAGTTGAGTTTGACTGACTAGAAGTAGGGTAACAGCACATCAGACCTTCAAAGTCTATTATGTATGCAAAGATATTGTACAATTTGGATTATGATATATACTTTTTTTAAATTTTTATTTATTTATTTTTCCCCCAAAGCCCCAGTAGATAGTTGTATGTCCTAGCTGTACATCCTTCTAGTTGCTGTATGTGGGACGCGGCCTCAGCATGGCCGGAGAAGCAGTGCGTCGGTGCGCGCCCGGGATGTGAACCCCGGCCGCCAGTAGCGGAGCGCACGCACTTAACCGCTAAGCCATGGGGCTGGCCCCTGATATTATACTTTTTTTTTTTTTTGAAGAGCATTTCCTCATGTCCTTAAATATTCTTCAAAGACATTTTTCTTTTTAAGGTTTTTTTTTTTTTTTTGGAGGAAGACCAGCTCTGAGCTAACATCTATTGCCAATCTTCCTCCTTTTTTTCCCCAAAGCCCCAGTAGATAGTTGTATGTCACAGCTGCACATCCTTCTAGTTGCTGTATGTGGGACACGGCCTCAGCATGGCCGGAGAAGCGGTGCGTCGGTGCGCGCCCGGGATCCGAACCCGGGCCGCCAGTAGCGGAGCACGCGCACTTAACCACCAAGCCACGGGGCTGGCCCTTCAAAGACATTTTAAAGACTGTAAAACATTCCATCATGTGGATTTATTATTCCCTATTGTGATATATATATATGGATATTCAATTATTCAATCTTATAAATAATGCCGTGATAAACATTTTTGTGTAATCATCTTGGTCTTAATTTCTATTTCCTAAGGATAAACTCCAGAAAAAGAATTAATGGAACTAAGAATACGGACTTTTAAAAAAAGTTCCTTGATATTGTGTTATCAAATTGCTTTCTAGGTCTTACAATTTTCATTGGTGAATAGAACATGTTTTTTCCAAAAACGTTTATAATAACTAATACAAAAAAAAATTTGGTATCCTAGTAATATCTTTAAAAGTATTTTCTTAAAAAAAGATAAGAGCATGCTCTAGTTAATGGAGTATAAATAAAACAGGTTTAGGGCCAGCCCCGTGGCTTAGCGGTTAAGTGCGTGCGCTCCACTGCTGGCGGCCCGGTTCGGTTCCCGGGCGCGCACCGATGCACCGCTTCTCCGGCCATGCTGAGGCCGCGTTCCACATACAGCAACTAGAAGGATGTGCAGCTATGACATACAACTATCTACTGGGGCTTTGGGGGAAAAAAATAAATAAATAAATAAAATTAATAAAACAGGTTTGGCCTATGAAGGAGTTGCTGGGCACACAGGTGCTATTTCTGTATAGTTTTGAAGTTTTCCATACTAGTAAGGTTTTGTTTAAGTCCCAATTAAGAGAGAAAAGCATCTATATGGACATATAATTTTTTATTGACAGTTCTTAGAACAAAAGAAATAGTTCTAGTTCTCTGCCTTATGTAAGTCAAAATGTTAATTAATTTCTGTCTCTGATCAAATGAAACCTGTTTCTGCAGCCAGAGTCTAAGTTGAGTCATTAAGTCAGTTGCTAACTTGCTCCATACTGAACCAAAGGGAAGGATTCATCTGCGTTTCAAGCTCAGTTCAGACTTATTAAAGTCTACACAACATTTATTCATTTACTAAATATTTAAGAACTGTAGTTACCTTCTGTTTGTGCTTGGCATTATGCCACTCTGGGGCTAGGGCACTACTACTATATACAAAGGCTCAGGAAATAATTTTAATAAGTTAATTCTATAGTTAAAAAAATAAAAACGAAAGACAATAAATACTGACAGATGTCTGGAGAATTCTGATTCTCTACAATATGCCAAGGACCATTGAACAAGGCATTCAGAAGCCTGCCTCATGAGAAAATATGAATACTAGACAAGGTGTTCATATCTCCCACCCCTCCACACATCCCACCCCACCTCTTCACCTCCATTTCACTGCAAGATCTTTAAGGGTAAAGAGAGGGTTTGCAGAGCCTAGCACAGCGCTAGGAGACACCTATAGGAAAGGCTCAATAAATATATACTGAACTGAGACAGAAGACCCAGCTTTTAAAATGATGGCAAAAAGCAGTTTTTTTGTTCACTGATATGCTAAAAAGGATTATATAAAATACAGTAAGAGAATACTCTACAACATAAACAAAATACAAATACTCTACAGTTCTCATCCATTACTACATCACACATTCAAATGTCCTCTAGCATTCTGACCTTGACTGTGAGAGCTTAAGAAGGAAAATTTGAGTATTTGATCAGTCTCTGGTCTACTCTATTCCTAGAACAGCAGTCCACAAAGCAATTCGCAGCATTCTGACTCACCCTGGAAACAGACTGCATTACTTGTGCAGTATTATTCCTAAGGAGTTCCTTTTCTGTATCTGCTATTAGTGGTCTACAGGCTCAGTTTTACCCGATTTAAAGGGCCTTGTGAAAAAAAAATAAAGAAGAAAGGAAGAAGGGAAACAGGACACAGAGAAAAACTAGTTATCTTTATTGAGAATGACTTTGGAAACGAATTGCTATGCTCTAGTTTATTTTTCCTTCCTCAGTGTCAGATTGTCATCTGATTTTCTTCGCTGATCTGAGAGTGATTTGCAATACTCTGTTCCTTTCTCTTAGCACAGGGCCTAGTACATAGTACAGTAGTCCTCCCTTATGCACGGTTTCACTTTCTGCAGTTTCAGTTACCTGCGGTCAACCTCAGTCCAAAAATATTACATGGAAAATTCCAGAAATAAACAATCCATTAAGTTTTAAATTGCATACTCTTCTGAATAGCATGATGAAATCTCGTGCTGTCCTGCTCCCTGCCACCTGGGACGTGAATCATCCCTTTGTCCAGCGTATCCACACTTACAGCTGTATATGCCACCCACCTGGTAGTCAGCTAGTAGCTGTCTCGGTTATCGGATTGACTGTCTGGTACCACACTGCTTGTGTTCAAGTCACTTTTATTTTACTTAATAATGGCCCCAAAGCGCAAAAGTAGTGATGTTGGCCATTCAGATACACCAAAGAGAAGCGGTAAAGTGCTTCCTTTAAGTGAAAAGGTAAAAGTTCTCGACTTAACAAGGAAAGAAAAATAATCGTATGCTGAGGTGGCTAAAAGCTATGGTAACTTTTATTACAGCATATTTTTATAATTGTTCTATTTATTATTAGCTATTGTTGTTAATCTCTTACTGTGCCTAATCTATAAATTAAACTTTACCATGGGTATGTACGTATAGGAAAAAACACAGTATATATAGGGTTTGGTACTATCTGCAGTTTCAACCGTCCACTGGGCGTCTTGGAACGTATCCCCCGCGGATAAGGAGGGACTACTCTAAGTCCTTAATAAACGTTTCCGGAATGAACAAATTGGAGGGATGATAGATTTGAACTGGAAAGACAAGTTAGAAGCTCATGTGAGATGTGATGAGTTCCTAAACCAGGATGAGAGTGAGCCTTAAGAAACAAGACCAAAGGAAGGGCTACAGAACTGATCAACCACTAAATATAGGAAAATCAGTTTATATAGATGATGAGCCAGATAAGCTTATAATACTGAACTTTAAATTTTGAAATCCCAAATTAAAATTAAGAGGTAACAACATACTTCTAATACTCAGTTGACCTGAAAAGGGAAATGAGCATTTATTTTAAATTTCAGTACCCCTCCCCCTGCAAAAAAAAACTAAGGCATCCTTAATTAAACGTAATCAGGTAGTTTGACAATGGACAACAGGTTATGAAAATCATACAGCAATTGAAGCTCATTCTTAAGACTTTTTGCCCTCAATCAATATATCTTATGTACTACTGCCATCTACAGTAAGAAAAGCCAAGAGAGTGTCTGTATTCTGAAAGGAAAAACAATTTATAGAATTATAAAGTGTTATATTAAAGGATTTCATTATTGAACAAAATTTTAGTTTTCACGGTAAGAAACATGCAGTTTTTAACCATGTTAAAATAAAAATAACCATGAGATTATCTTATATAGATAACCAGATACTTATAAGAAAAGGGCAAGGGGCCGGCCCCGTAGTGTAGCGGTTAAGTGCGCGCGCTCCGCTGCTGGCGGCCTGGGTTCAGATCCTGGGCGCGCACCGATGCACCACTTGTCAGGCCATGCTGTGGCGGCGTCCCATATAAACTGGAGGAAGAC